TGGGCCCGATGCCCAGCGGCAGGCACCCGGGGGCCGCCGCGGGCCGGCGGGCCGCCAGCGCCCGGCAGAAGTCGTCGTTCATGGTGCCGCTCGGAGCCGGACCCAAGCGAGCCCCGAGTCGCCCAGGCTCGGGGTCTGCGCGACCTGCGCGCAGGGCGAGTCACATCGCCGGCCGCGGCTCGGGGCGCACGGACTGGTCAGCGCTTTTTTCCGCTCTGTGGGGAGGCTCCGAGGTCCCCCTAAGGCGCACCATCGCGGCGGACTGGGCTGCCGCGCAGAGGCGGGATCCGGCGCAGGGTGCGGGCCTTCCCAGGGGCGCAGCCCTGTGGCTCCCGCGGCCCTGCGCTGCGCTCTTGGTCCTCGCCGCCCTCTGGGACCCTGGCCTGCTGCCTGGAGTGCGCAGCGCCGCAGAGGCTCCCGGGGAACCGTCTCTAAAGAGGAGAGTGGACATGTCAGTTAGAAAAGGGCTTTGTGGGCTCCTTTGTGGGCCCCCCACCCCCTCGACCCTCCAAGGCGATTGTAAGCATCAGGAGCAGAGGCGATGGGCTGCTGAAGACACATGCAGAGCAGGGTTTGGACCCCCGTTCACCCCTTCTTGCTGGGATGACCTCTCTGAGCCACGGTTTCCAGTAGGGAGAGAATTAAAACATCCTTCCCAGAATAATACTGTATGAGGACCAAGTAAGAAAAGAAATGCACCTGAAGACACCTCCTCCAGGGCCTGCCTTATAAAAGTGCCCGGATGTGCTCTCCCTTGAGAGTGAGGGGCAGGTCTGGTCACTCCCACCTGCCGGGCCTCACACCCGGAGGCCCCCAGCCTGGGGTAGGAGTGGGGAGCTGGGGCAGGGGCGGAGGGGGCTTGTGCTGGCTCAGGCCCCCTGGGTTTGTCCCTCCCGCCTCCGTGAGTGCAGAGCACGCCGTCCCAGTCTGCACAGATAAGAGCTTGTTGAATAACTGACAGGGGGGATGAGGCAGGAAGCTGGGCTGGTTGTGGGACTAAGTTACACACAGCCTTCCCCAGACTCCGGGGCGCTGTTGCTTTAGAAACGACTGGCCTGGGCTGCGCCCCCGCCCCAGCCCTCTCGCCCACGGTCATCAGATGCCACTCTGTGGTCACTGACCCGCCCTCTCCCTGCCAGCGTGCCCCGCTGGCACCCTGTGCCCCGTCACATGATCTGCTCTCGTGCCTGCCCCACCGGAGACCTCAGGGTCCCGCCACCCCCATGGGCAGTGATGGGGCAGCGGGGGCCGGAAGCCGGGCCAGGCTTTCCGTGTGACAGAGGGCCAACTCTGTCCCCAGTGGGGGACGTGCTCAGACCCCCACGAGGCCCCTGCACCTGCTCACCACCCCCTCCTCCAGCTCCCAGGCTGGGCCCAGCTACCCCGCCCTCTGCACTGAGGGGCACTGGGGAGTCAACAGCCCCCTAAGCACCTGCTCTCGAAAAATCGCGTGAGGCTTCGGGACAAAACCACATACCCCTCCCCCGCTCCATGGCCCCCAAGGGACCCCCTTGCGAGGGAAGTTTCCTTCAAGGGATGGTTCCAGACAATCTCTTCCAAACGGCCCCTTCGCTCCGTCAGGACCAGTCTCCCCTGTGTGCTCCTGACCTCACCCCTCGGTCGACACAGACCCGGCCGGCCATGGACCCTCTGCCTCCCCAGTCCCGCCTGTGCTGATTGCCTGAATTCTCCAGCCCCCGACATGGGCGTTCGAGGCTGTGAGTTTTGAGTCTTCAGCAGACAGTAAGCTGCCGGAGGGCAGGGCGTGCTCTCACTATTAGGCAGCCCCTCAGTCCCTTGCCAGAGCTGGGCATGGAAGGGTTGCTCAAAATTATTTGCAATCAGTCCTCTTGTTTTATAAAAAATACGAGACCCAGACTGTCCTCTCCCATGTGATCCCTGCCTATTCATACTCAATTTATTTAAATATAATTTGATAGAGATCAGACATTTATTTACATCTAATGACAATTGGTTGTAAATAAATAAATAAATAAATGACAATTAGTCGGGACCTGACTGTGGCTCAGATCATGAACTCCTTATTGCCAAATTCAGACTGAAATTGAGGAAAGTGGAGAAAACCACTAGACCATTCAGGTATGACCTAAATCAAATCCCTTATGACTATACAGTGGAAGTGAGAAATAGATTTAAGGGACTAGATCTGATAGACAGA